GGATGGCATGAACTAAGTTTAATGAACTGTAATCTATAAAGTTTGTCCTACATTGGCGGAAGACAAAAATTTTGGTGAGCTAATATACTCTTAATTGGCTTCGTAGGTTGGGCCCCAACGGGTACCACACTTTTGTGAGCAGAATGAGCATCTACACAATCTCGATTACCACGCTCGCCACGACTTGACCATGCTGGACATGGAATTGAACTTTGTATCAAAAATATATTATCTTTTTGCAAAAAATTTATTTAATGCAGTGCGGGTTGTGGGTCAAATCAAACAAATCCGAAAGCGGATCGCAATTAATCTTTGAACCGAAATTTAAATATCTAACCGGATTTTTAAATTTTTTGTTCGTTCAATTTGAATTTGGCGCCGAAATTGAATTATGTTTATTCATTTAAGAGGTGTCTTCCCTTTTGTTACTGTTCAAATTAAAAGAATGTCTCTTCAATTCTAACAAGTACAATGAACAGAGGCATTTCATATCTCTTAAGGCGATCTAAACATACACAAGTAGTCTATAAATAGACTGTTTTACTGTCATTTTCAATCATCCCAAACATCCTGAATCCTGCACTCAGTCTTTCTTCTCTCTCTACATACTATTGCACTATCATTTTTGTGCGTTTCAAGCATAAACACAAAGTTGTGTTCATTAAAGTATTGAAGATTGAAGTACTACATTTTTAAGAACAAAATTCGTTCTATTTCAAGAGACAGTTGGTTATCAACCTTAAGTATCAAGAAATAGCAAATATGTCTTAAGAAAACTGTAGTTACACATGATTCTGATTATTTTTGGATTTCTAGATTTTTACTATTCTTGTTGTTTTGTGTCACTGTAAGTGTATTTCTGTTTTATTTATTATTTATTAGTTTGCATAATTCTGCAGTCTGACTCTTTGTTGATCTGCAAGTGTTAGCACTTGGCAGAGGCTACTTATTTGATTTGTTGAATCTATATGTTAAATTCCTCCCCCAATGTATAATGTTGAATGCATGAATTTAAGGGATTTTTACGGTATGTACCAAAAAAATTTATAACATACCGAAGGTTATGGGCAAATCAGTTCTAAATTACAACTTTAAAAAGATTAAGTTTTGATTCAATTGGGTTATTTCGGATTAATCCTAAAATGTTGGAATTGATTCCAAGTTTTTTTGAATTGTTCATGGCACTTTTAAGATAGAATCCTAAAACTTTAAGCCTCATTGTCTCGTACGTTTGAACCGTTGGAGTAATTACTTAATCTGGTCTGATTATTACTGGGCAAGTACCAAACTCAGTACATAGAATTTTCCTAAATTCACAAGTAATGCAGCAATTAGTAATGCTATGATGTTAGAACAATCAAAGGTACTGCATGCCTTAGTTGCCCAACACTCAATACCATAAAGCATAGCGGGTCTTATGGGCGTTCTATAGAACTTTCCTTTTGGCTTAAGGGGTATGTGTGTCGTACAATACACCTTATGCATTCCTCCATTTAATCCATCATGTTATAATTCTATGAACAACATCATCACCAATCTCACACTCTATGAATAATAAACCCTAACTATTTAAAGTGGTCACTATTTGGTGTCTCTTGCTATTCAATTTTTACTACTCTTCGGTTTGAATTCCTCTTTTTACTAAAGATACATTCCATGTATTTAGTTTTAGTCCTATTTATCTTAAATACTTTTGATTCTAGAGCTACTCGTTGTATTTCTAGTTTATTATTAGTTTATTTTATATTTTCATTAACTAATACAATATCATCCACAAATAATATACACGATGAAAATTCATCATGAAAGTGTTTGATCAATTCATATATAATCAACGTAAAAAAACATGGGACTCAAAGCAGAACCATGACGTAAATCTACAATGATTGAAAATTCATTAATCTCTCATGTCGTTGTTTTTACTACGGTCACCACATTTTTTATGTAAATCTATTTTTAGATAAAAGAATTTCATTATAGAATGAAAACAAAAAAAAACAAATTACAATGCCGAGGACAAGGTATCATAAAAAACACAAGACATTTTCATACATGTCTTAATCACATCAATATACTTAGAACATTAACTTTTTTATTCTCTAGAACTTTCCAAAATATATCACTAAGAACTCTTATCTCATGTCTTTTCTAAGTTTATAAAAATCATATGAAGGTTCTTATTTTTCTCTCTAGCTCTTCATTAGTCTCCAAATTACGTATATATCTTCCATCGTTGATCACCCGGGCAAAAATCAAAACTGATTCTTTGTGAAAAGGCAAAATATCATTGTCTTTTAGACCATTTTCTCCTTTTAGAATAAACGCATTACTCAATGCTATAGTAAATTCGTGAATACCAATTTAGACTGCGATTTCTTTCAATATATTCATCTGAATAGCTAATTGTTTTATATAAATTGGTAGACAAAAATTACAATGAGAAAGTTTATAGATAAATTCAAACATGTATCCTTAAATACCATTAATCAAATAGAGAAAAACAAAAATCAAATGACTAAACGTCAAAGAATAATGAATCAGTTTTAGATCTAGCACACCAAAATTATTAAAAACGAAACAAGAATAAAAACTAAATAAAAATATCTGACTTATACATTTAAGAAATCAATTCAATCCATTAATATATTGAAAATGCTATCTATTGATTCAAATAGCATATTTTCAATATAGAAGTTTTAAATAAATCTTAAGCAGTTGGAATCATAAGGGCTTAGATTTGTTTAGATCACTTGACCCCAACGGACAATATATGGCTCCCCCATGCCAATTTCATCATGTTCCTTATGCAAACAAGAAATTCTTGTTCACGGAAAAAGAAATACAATCAACAACGCGACTTCTACTCAATTTACTAACATAATTTGCTAACTCTATCCACTGCTGCAGTTGGATCCCATTCAATATTGAGACCCATTGCTAATCAAATGGCAACAGTGGATTGGTTGAGTAAATTGTGCCAGTGAATTGGATCCAAGTAGCGTACTCTAGACGAAGAGGCATATTTCATAAATAAGAAGATCAGAGTGTTACCAAATTTCTCAGCAACTACAACAGCAATTAATGCAGGAAGATTCAACCAGGAACTGACCAGGGTAGACTAGCATGACTTCGATAGATTAGAACATAGGCTTACTCAGCCAAGCCCATATCATATTAGCATGAGAGATCAACTGTATGCTGAAAGGTGCAATCATTCTGCAGCAACTACATTAGGCCAGGTTGAAGGAAGAATTAAAAGACGAACCTGAACAAACTAAACATATGCCTTGGTCCAAACAGGTACTGAGTATATCAGTGTACCGAAACCAAATGAGATCATAATTGTGAGCATAGCATATGTGTATGCTCTCCAAGGGTGTCTACTCTCTCTCATAGCATGAAATTCTGCAATGAATGTAGAAACAGTACTTAAACAACCCAACAGCCCAAACTGTATACCGGTTGCAACAGTATCACAAGTCTTGGTTTTCACCTGTATCAAAAAAAACCAAAGCTTGCCAAGATTAAAAACGTTAAATATATGTCAAAGAAAAGAAAAAATAAGAATTGTGTGGATTTAAGTGCAAGATATGGTTAAGACTCTAACGATGACAGTGAGAATGATCATGTATCATTCAAATTTATACACATTGAAAAATATTCCACTCATGCAAGCTCATAAAACAACCCAAATGCTCCAAAAAGAGGTTTATACAGGAGTGGCCTTTTACATGTTTTTGTAAAAATATTGAGAAAGAAAGGGAAACAGTGGCAGACTAAGAGAGTAGTGTGGAAGCATGTAATGAAACCTTACCACTTTCTTCACTGTTGCTAGGGCTGCCATGATGCAAGCAGCTAATACATTGGCAATCATAGTTCCGAAAGGAACCCATTTCAACAAGCCCGCTTTTCCTAGGCCACGTCCATTGAGTCGTGCTAAGAACCATCTTATCCAGACACCAAGAGGTGCAACCATGCAAGCCAACCAGAGCTGAGCTCCACTATTGCCACTGTTGAACTCTCTTCTCTCCAAAGTCCCACTCACACCATATAACAAGCCTAGCATGAATAACAGCACCACCACAACTGCCAAGTGGCGCTCGCAGGTGTCCACTTTCCAGTTATTTTTTGAACTAGAGATGCCATGTTTTGAACTTTTGATTAACCTCTTGAGAAGCCATTTGACACCCTTGGCAGTCTCGATCCCAAAAATGATGGAATACGCAACAAGGAACAAACCTGTAAATACTAGATAGTAAGAAAGCCCCTCCAAGACTGAAATGAACAGGCAGCATGGGGCATGCATGTTGTTCAATTTTGAATAGTAACTACCTATGAGAATGCCGAGCACGGCAAAAACCCAGTGGCCGTCAACACTGAGATCTAGCATTTTCTGATTCCAACCACTGAATGTTGTGAGGCTTCCCAAATAACCAGTTGTTAACCCAATGGCTAACTGATCCGAAACTTTAGATATGTCTCTTTTAAAGACAACGCCCCACCACCCCATCAAGAATGAACCAACCTTAACGAATGCACAATATTAGAATGAGAAACAATGGAGTAAAGAATGCACAATATTAGCATTAGGACAATGGAATAAAATATCAGAAGAAACACAATATAGATAGTGATAGAAGACACAGGAAAATGAGGTAGAGACATTATTGAAGTTGTCATGCCTTCACAAGACATGTTAGTAATCTATAGAGGGCAAGGCAAAGCAAGTGCCTGGAGTGCTAAGCCCACATCATCTCATCTACAACCATACCAGCACAATAGGGTAGGAAAACTACAACCTCCAACAATCCATACTTTCCGGCCCATGAGCTTTTACCGTGTTTAATAAACTTACAGCACTCTAGTTCATGTAAGTATGCCGATTCTGCAAGTAAATCTATCTTAAAACATTAGCTTACATAATGTATTCCACTCTCTTATGCACCAATAATGGAAGAGCATAAATACTTGACGTTTCCAGATATGGAAATATTGATCTAAAAGATTGGTTAATCCCTCCACCAAATTGTCATCCCACTTGGATAAAGTTCCAAAGCTCAAGCATGAATGTACAAATGCATGTGCAGACTGAACAAATAGGTACCTCGCTCTAAAATGACTAGCAAATGGAGTCATTTTGAAAAAAATTTCAAAGACAAACAACAGCATCTAAATGCTGAACATTTGTGCACAAATACATTCCCTTTTATTTTGCGTGAGCACATGCAAGCAAGTGCATCCACCTGTGTATGAGTGTAGAGTAGAGTAGAATAGAGAGAGCGAGAGAGAGGGACCATATTAGAAGGAAGATCAAGGTACATATAGCTTTGGTCATTTGTTGCACCAACAACTCCAGGGCCAAACAGTTTTTGCAGTAAGTACCTTGTTAACACCTGCAAAATATCAAGAAGTCAGTTTCTTGTGTATTCATACAGATATATCAACCACCCCGTCACTGTCTAACATAGAGTCACTTTGCCTCTAGCATCATCAAATGAAAACAAAATAATTAACATGAGAACACTGTTGGGCGGTGCAGGGTAATGCATTTTGCACATTGCAAATGTGCAGCCCACAATTTCTACCCAAAAGTCCATGGTCAAATATTTGAATATTGACAATCATTATCAAATAATCATTATATATTATGTGTTCACACATGGAGTCTGATATTGCAATAGATTTGGACGGTAAAGTTTTCCTATAAATAGATTGTAATGTTTGTATTCCATTCCAAGGCCAAGAGCCAAGTTCAATAAAGAGTATTTTTCAATTTTCTCTTTTGAGTGTTTGACCTCTACGGTAGTAACTCAACTACTCCAATTTCGTGTTTTGTTTACCCTTTGACAAAATACCCAACAAAAACTACCACTACCTACTCTCTAGAGGATTTAGTTGCTAACCAAGAAGAATATTCTACATAGAAGTAGTTCAGCCATCCAGATGTCACCTTGAAGGGCACTGAACAAGAAATATTATATGCAGAAACAAGGCAAATCAGGGGATGATAATATACAGAAGAAGCACTTTAACTTATTCAGCCACATAAATGTGACTAACTACATGACCAACTGGTCATTCCAAATTTAAGCCCAATTGATCAAAGGGGAGTGCTAAGAAAGTTCAAAATCAATACTGCACTCATGCAGAAACAGGAGCCAGAATCCAGACAGACATTGCAAGCTAACAAATGTCCATAATTTGTTTTCTGTTAGTCTGTTACCAACCACCAAGAGGCTATGTTGTGACAGATAAGGGAAGAAAATGGAAGAAATGAAAAGAGCTTCTGCCAAAACTGGTATGAACACCTAACTAATTAGAGAAATAGGAGAGGTGGAGAAATATGAGAAGTAATAGGCATCAAAAGAAATTCAAGTACTCTTGCCATAAGGTCTAGCACTTGAGCAAATGGGGTATAGCTGACACACGTCGGAGGGAATCAAAATCTTAAAAATCTCTCTCCTCTTGTAGTGTACCTGAGGTAATTCTGTACCCAATGCATTTTCCTTTTCTATGTACACCTTTGATACAGAAAAAACTTAGATATGCATATACGTTCACACATATCAGGTATGGTATCAGGTAAACTGAAACTGCCAGGAAAACATATTGATGATTTGAAAAGAAGAAAAGACAAACAAAAAACCACAACAGCAATTTCTGGCACAACAGCAACTTCTGGCAAGCATGTAAGCAACTCAACCTTAAATGCCACATTTTAGTTAAATAAATGTCTTTACTCCTAGATGTATGAGATCATATTTTATTTAGAGTGCTTTCTGTTATATGTTTCAGCAATCAGATTGTGGGATACAAAGATTACAACCTTCAAATTCTGTGAGTTTGAATTTGACAATGGTTAGCATTGGCCAAGTGTTGGATGACTCTTCCAACTGATTTTGCTTGGCCTGTAGCTGAGGGTTAGACAATTCTTCCAACTGATTCTGCCTCTGTGTGTCTTATCCTCAATAAAGTCTTGTAACCCTTCATTACACGCTAATTTTTGTGGGCTTTAAATACTGAATATAGATTTCACCAAAAGAAAGTAACAACCCCTTACTCTGTTTTCCTAGCATGACCGGTTCAATCTCGAAGTGAATGGCCCTTCTTTATAACATTGTTATTCAAGCAACTACAAGTGTTCTTGCCACAATTTTTGCTTGATCAGCTACAAAATGCAATATGTAATTCAAAAAACTACTCAACATCTTCCACCAGGTTTACCTATCCTGAGTTTTAATTTGTATTGAAATTTTCAAAATCTCATGAAAAGTTCTATTTGAAAAATTCAATGCTTTGTTAACATATTGACAGATAGTGTGCATAAGGTTTAGTAGCTCTGACATTGATCGGCCATCAGGCACCAGATTTCACATCTAAATTCCTTGAAGGGAAGTACCAAGTATCACACCGAATGAAACTAAAGTACAGAATAGTTTCACAAGATAATCAGAAGATTGCAACTGAGTGGAAAACTTAATGTCAAGTTTCACTTAAAAAGCAAACTATCTATTGCCTACACGGTCAAGCTCCAAGAAATAAGAGGAATAGGATATTACCCCAAGAATACCAAACACGGCAAGATGAATAAGGCATGATATATACTCCACTAACCATAGAAGCTCCTTTGTATCATCCTGCATATAGAAGCATGTGACTCACCTGATCATTGAAGAAACAATTCCCAGTATTATTTCTCATCAACAGACATGCAAATGCAATGCAAGTTAACAACCATAGTTCTGTTTCCCACCAATTTCCATCAAGAAGTCTTATAAAAGGGGATATGTTACATGAGCACTCACTTTGTTGTTGTCTCCAGAGTGTGCAATAGCTTCAGCGGACAAAGAAGATGTGCTTTCCAACATTGATGGGGATACCGGGGCGATAGTGATTGATGCAGCGAGATCACGAGATCGAACCCCATACGATTGCAACAGAGCATCCTCTGGAATGGGAACGACAATCCCATTTTCTACCACATTATCAGCAGATAAGTGAAGTCTACCACTTCCACTGTACCTGTTGCTGTGAAGTGCGCGATCCCCAATATCTCCTGCCTCTGAAACTGACTCACTTTCAGTATCACCGTCCACCTGATGGGAGACAGCATCTGATAAACTTAAAGAACGCCTCCTCAAAGAAGAAGCCACACTGCTTGCGTGACCAAAAGATCCACTTTGTCTAAACTCAGATTCTTCAACCTCACGATCCATAATCCTTGTTCCAGGGCTACTGAAATTTCATTCCTATCACAACAATTTTAGAAGTCATAGCAAGGGGAAGTATGATGTTATATGATTGGAGAAGATATAATGGTAAGCATGATAAATCAATTAGTTGCAAGTTATTGTAGGCTATAGTCAACTACCCTGCTTATGAAAGCCAAAAAAATATTTGTATAACAAGTCGTCATCTGCTCAAGTTTTTCTATGAGAGACATGAATTCTGAATTAAGTACGCATGCAGAATGTATTTTATAATACTATGGATATTGTTCCATCTGAAGCTTCTCACGGAATGACGTACAGATAAAAGCAATTAAAAATATAAAACAAATATCATTGTTCATTTTGACAGCTGAGCATACAGTCCAATTCTTTATAGAATTACATATAACCCACACTCAAAAGCTCACACAAAAGTTCAGAACATTTTCTAAATGCTTTATGTATATCTATCTGTAGATCCAATTCAGGCAGTCTAAATACTGAAGGAAGATAAAAGGAAAAAGACAGAAAAAGAGAAACCTTGTTCTATGAATGCTACACAAATGTTCTCACAACTATTTAATCTTTGATTTCTCAGTCACCACATGCTTGAAAGAGAGATGCTAGCCTGGCCTGAAAATGTTTAATTATTCAGCTACAAAAACTAAATGTTGAAGCAGCAAAATTCACTGTTGTACGATGCATGATTTAGACCATGGAACCAAGTGCACATGCCTATGTAATGCCAACTATTATTAATTGGGATTTGTCCCACAAAAATTGTAAAAACAACGTATATTGGATTATTGAATTTGCAGCAATCACCTTATGAATCAATCAAACAAAACAAAAAACAAAGAGAATTGCTTGTTTGCTGGCACAACAAACACAGATCGTGACTCGGGTGCACATGAAAGGCCATCCCAACAACTGAATGGGTTCAGCTGGGTATCTCAATAGGAAAAAAAAAAACTAAAGGCTAGGTCAGTCAAGGGTCGTGTCTTGCCAGGTTCATGTCGTGTCTAAATTGTGTCAAATTCCTTAACCCATATACAATCCATTTAGACTTGTGTATAGTCAGTCGGGTTTGTGTTGTGTTTAGCAGATTCATGTCATGTTTAGGTGCATTAGCGTCGATCTATTATTTGACAAGTATAACAAGCCATACCCACTAAGATTAAGCTCAAACCGGCAAATTTTGTACCGAGTTCATGTTGAGTTCGTGGATCATGACTAGAATTATGAGGCCTCAAAAAAATGTGGCAACTCAAGGGTCTATCAGCATGATTTTGAATCGGTACCAAACGATCACAAATAACCCTTTTATGAGACAGAAATCAAAACTGTAAAATGGTCAATTCCATCGCGTTACTTGCATTTGTTTTAAGAGTTCAAGATGGGTCCTCCACTAACTGAGCAACAGGAAAAAGCCAAACAGTACAAAACACCACCCAACATGTCTTTAATTCAAGTCCATGCACGTTGAGAGCTATAAATTAAACAACTTAATAGAAACATCAAATCAAGGGTCCCAAAGTCGCATAACAGAGTACTTTTTTACTGCCTTTCCAAATAGATAAATGCACTTTACAGAGAGAGACAAAGAGAAAATAAATTTAGAAGCAATAGTAACGGGACATATGTTGTCACTTCCGAAGAAAATACATACTAACAATCATGATAAATTTATTACTTGCAAGTTATTGTAGGTTATTGTCAACTACTCTGCTTATGAAAACTGTCAAAATATATTTGTAACAAGTCATGCCATTGGAATGTTTTATTATATTACAGATAATGGCTATATCCGAAGCTGTCATGTATTAACATATGTTAGCCAAAAGCAAATACAAATAAAATATCATTGCTAATTGAGACAGTTGAATTCTTCATAAAATTAGTTATTAGCCCACTCAAGATTATTTCAAAGTTCAGACCCTTTGTAAATGCTTCATGTATATCTACCTATATACAAAATTCATGTAGTCTAAATAATGAAGGAAGATAAAGAAAAATACTTTGCAAATGTTTTCACAGTCAATTGATCTTTGATTTCTCACTTGCCAGGCAAAATAAGCATTGCTAGTCTATATAATTTGTAAACATTAAAGCAGCAAAGTTCACTTTCATACCATACATAACTTCTTTCATAGAACCAAGTGCACACAGCCACACAACAATGTAATGCCAATTGCCACCTAATATTAATTTGGATGAGTCCCACAGAGTCACAGACTATTATATTGCATTATTGAATTCGAAGAAATGATTTTTATGGCCTAAACAAACAAAGGGAATACAAAACAATTGAGAAGCGATGGTTTGCTTGCACAACAAACACAGCTCCTGACTCGGGTGCACATGAAAAGCCCTCCCAACAAGGCCACAGCTGAATGAGGTTAGCAACAGATAAAATAAACATAAAAAAGGTATAGCAACCCAAGGGTCAGTCAGCATGATTTTCAGTTGGAAACAAATTTGCAGAAATGTTTGAGTATCATAAGTAACCTTTTATTAGAACACAACTTAGAACTGTCACAAACTAGAGCTGTTAAAAGGGAAATTCTACCACATTTGTTTGAGCAGCAACTACGATAAAGAAAAGCAAAAGCAAAATTCATTTGTTTAGCTATAAACCAAACAATTTAACAGTAACATCAAAAGAAGGGTCCCAAAGTCACATCACAAAGTTTACTTTTTGTACCGCCTTTTAAATAAGATAAGTGCACTTTAGACGAACACAAAGTGATGGATGAAAGAATAAATTTAAGGATAAAAAAGGGGGCCAAAACTATACCCAACTCAAAAGGCCAACATAGAACTGAACAAAAAGTGATGAGATAATGGGTTTCAGTGAGAGAGAGAGAGATAGTACCGCTGAAAAGGGATCCTCCAAATGGCGCAAAGCTTCAAAAGATGAGAAATCAAATTCAACTCCTAATAGTCGTACGAGAAAATCGTTAATGTAACTAATGAAATTCCTAATTACCCAAAAATGAAAAAACTAATCAAATTCCTTTTTCTAATAAACTAGTCCAATTCTTTTGCCAAACCTATAAACCCCCATCTATCCCACAAAGAAGGAGAGGAAGGAATGGTGGTTGGATTTGAGGCCGTTAAGGGCTTTGAAGCTACTGTTCAATTCCCTAATCGTTACACACCTCTGCATCTGCCAGAGAGAGAGAGAGATTGGGCTGCAAAGGTAGTGATTCTGGCCCCACCCAATCTTTCCTCTGATTTCACGTCTCTCTTCCTCACTTTCCGGGATTGACTTTTTAACGATTTTGTAGGAGGTTTTTTTTGGGGGAAATTACCGAAAATCCCCTTAAACTTAATGCTAATTATAGATAATCTACTTAAGTTTATACTTATGTATTAGCCTCCCTAACTTTATAAACAGTGCAAACATAAAAAGAGGTAATAGAATCTTTAAAAATATCAAAGGAGAAATTGCACTTTATACCCTAAAATATTTAATAATTTATATTTTATACTTCTAAAGATTAAAATTCTCACACTATACCCTCAGTTGCAAATAAATCTTTTTGTTAACTTTTATTGTTTATTCTGTCAAAAATCACATTTTATTGACATTGACAGAATGAGTAATGAAAATTAATTAAAGAATCACGTTACAATTGTGAAAAGACCAATTTTTAAGGGTATAAATAAAAAATTCTTCAATCTTTTAAAATACAAGATGCAATTTGTCCCATACTAAAATAAAAAATACTATGTTGGCCAAGTTTTCTATGTGATACAGTATTTATCATTAAACAAATAAGTTTCATTAATTTTCATTGATAATTTAGTAAAAAACATGATAAGTATAATATTATTGTACTAAAATATCACGCTATATTCACAGCAATACCCTCAATTAACCTTCAATTTATTTTTTTTCCCAACTCTCTACCATCATTAAATCCCTCGCCACAAGAATTTTAGGTGGACAATGTAATAAAACAATATGTTTTTTTTTAAAAAATTTTGAATAATAATGAGTTAACAGGGACTTCTATAAAAGATCTGAAGATTTATAGATGGATTTAAAGGTGTTATTGATTTTTTAAGAGAAATCTATTCAATATATATATATATATATATATATATACTCAACAAATAAAACAATTTTTTTTGTAATCCATTATGACATAAAGACAAACAAACAATATGAGATACATTTTGATGGGTTACGACAAAAGAAATAAAATTTTGTGATGAATTCTGTGTTGGATGTTCAAAATGTGTATAACTTGTTCAAAGAAAGGGGTTTTTTTTTTTTTGATATTAAAGAATGGGGGGGTTAAATATAGTCACACTCCTTCTAGAATATTTCTCTTGATATTATTTATTTTTCTAATTCATATGAAAAATGCAGTAGTATTAAAAACATTCTCAGAACAATATTTATTTATTGAATCACCTAGTCAAATTTGTCACAAAAATTGTTTTTCTTTCTTCTCTTTGAAGGTTCTAATATATTATATTGTTAATCCGGGACATGATTCATTTTCATTGGGTTGAAATCATCAGCCTGTAGTTAAAGACCCAATTTATCCCTTCTGACTGGGATATAAATAATCCACCGGGGGGCGTGTTTGGCAATGACCCGATGAATTAGACTAGTTTTTCTTACCAGCATGATTAACTGTCAATTTACAGAAATGCCCGCATAGCAGTAAAATCTTTGGATTAAAATTTTACGCCCTTTTACCAAGGCAACCAAATACTGAGTTCTGATTTACCACCGCCTTCACGACATTATAGCACGTCGATTGGAACCTGGCAGAGAGCTGGAGGTTCGCCGGAGCTAATGCTGTGCCTCGCAGCCAAGACATTGTTGTTGGAAGGATTCATAAAAACAAGTCTTGTGAGTTTGGAGAAGAGATTAATGTAAAAACGAATGTGCATCCGAAGGCCATCTCTCTCTCTCTCTCCCTCTCCCTCTCCCTCTCCTTTTCTCCCTTTAACGCTATATATGTGTTTAGAGCAGTAAGAAAACT